AAATAAATAAATAAATAAATAAATAAATAAATAAATAAATAAATAAATAAATAAATAAATAAAATCATGCCATTGTGTCACTTGGGGGAAAAAAAACAAAAGAAATTTCCCAGAACCTATACTATTTGCCTTTAATGTTCACATTTCATAGCAAGGCTAATTAAAAGATGAAATAATAATAACAAAAATATATCTCTGGAAAGTAAAGAAAAAAAAAGGCAACTGATCTGATTGTCATAGCCAGAATACAGATATATTTATGGTTACTAAGGAGGTTTGTTTCATAGCCACTGGAGAGGTTTGCATGATCAAACGGTGAAATGAAGGGAAAATCTACAGATTCGGACAGATTTATTGTTATGTGAAAGCTCCTGTAGGTAAACTCCCTCTCTGCTATGCCATGTACATGATTACATAGCCTTGCTATGATAGGCTATAGATAAACTAGGGCTGATAGAAACAGGAGAAATGAATGGGAACAGAGCTCTTGGGGATTGGGAGGGTGAGAGGTAAAGGTACTTTGTAGAAAGACTAATGAGCTTTTTTCAACATTCTGTACTTGTTCTGCCAACTCTTCAGCTGATCGGATCCACTGCCCATCCTGCTTTCTGTTGGACACCTCCACCTTCATGTTCACAGCTTGGCTCTCCCCGAGGCTGGGATGGTGATAGGCAGCCATCACCAATGGTTGTTAGCTTTAGAGATTGCTGGGGTGGAAGCTAAATCAAAAGGCAGATCCTTGGCTTATTGTCTGCATCAGCTGACGGCCCCTCATTACCAGTACTTTTCTTCCACAATTTACTCCTCTTGTCAACATTTTTCAGATTTGGTTTTCTGTTTCTATTCTTTTATGTTGCCTCTCGATGCCTTGAGTTCTAGCACCACCCTTCTCTCTCCCTGCCTTTTTTTTCCCCAAGGGGAGCTCTCCTGGGTCAAGGATGAAAGTAATAGGCTAGACTACACTATACAATGCAATCCTTTGTTTTTTTTTCCCCTTAGATGCCAAAATCTCCTTGAATGT